CCAAATTCCACGTGTTCGTACGTGAGTAGCAACGTGAGTGTTTTCTTCGCTTGGGGTTACTTAAAGACTGCCTTAGGTAGTGTTCACAAAGTTTCGGCATCCCAGCTGCTCTGGTTGCAGAGTTACGTCAAATTTCACGTGTTCGTACGTCAGTGGCAACGTGGATGCTTTCTTCGCCCGCGGTCACTCAAACACGGCCCCGGGTAACGCTCAGAAATTTTCAGCACTCGAGCTGCTCTGGGTGCAGAGTTAAGTCATATTTCACGTGAAGCGTACGTGAGGCGTGAAAGTGATGCGTAAGTCGTTCTTGCGTGCATCTGGTCAAAGGGCACCATCGATTGTGCTCAGAAAATTCAGGGCCTCTGACTGATTCAATTCTAAAGTTACAAAAGCGCATGCGTGAAATTTTTACGCGTTCGTACGTCAGATGCATAAGAGCTGACAAGTAATTTACTTTCACGGACACAACAGTAGGCGACAAGTAACGCTGCAAAATTGCAGCTCTCTGCATCTTATTGATCACCTTAAATTTGGAGTTGGCACGATGCCAGTTCAAACTTTGACGTGTGCGTACGTGAGTCCCGAAGGTGCGTGAAGGCTGAATTTGAAATCTTTGGGTTAGACGCGGCCAAGGAACAACCCTGTAAAGTTCCAGCCTTCTAGCATGGGCCGTTCCCGAAACGCTTTCCCGCCACAAAAATTTCCACGTGCCCCTACGTGAGAACCACGCGGATCTGAGCGCCCATTTCGGGGATACGAGCCCGCACGTATGTGTAGATTAAGTCACCAAATTTTCAGCCTTGTAGCTTTTGTGAATCTCGAGATGAAAACTCGTTACAGACGCACACACAGACACACACACAGACAACCCCTCGACAATATGCGTTTTTGCATTGCATAGCTGCAAAAAACGCATAAAAACGAAGCACTACTTGGGTTTTCACGACTTTTCATGCTGGAAACCGGAATTCTCAACTTAACGATTTTTCTGATTAAATTCAAATTTGCTCAGCGACAATATCTAAGAATTTGAAGCTGATATCTTCGTTCTCCAGCGATACAACTCGAGTAATGGATCCAACAAGTAAAGTGTACACTTTGAAGTGAAACAGCTTATTGGACCGAAACATTCCAATTTAGCAGAGCTCCTTTTGCTATTTCTTATTATTCGTTACTATTTATTACTATAATTTACTAGATTTTTTATAAAATTTTGGCAACTTAGACTAGTTATAAATTATCATAATCTAATCTAATGCACACACACAAATACAAATATAAATATATAGATATATAAACGTACTTTCTTTCCTGTGACGCATTTTTGTTCCAGTCTGTAAAAAAAAACATCTGAAGAGGAAAACACCTGGTGTAGAACGCAGTACGACAATTGGAGCCGGTGACGGCGGACGCTGGTCCGTTTCTTCCTCAATTGCTGGCGGTGAATGAATGACAACAGCAGCAGCAGCAGCAGCTGGCGGCACTGCCATCGTGAAAGCACGCGTCACTCTACCGAACAGTGCGCTGATTATGCGCTTTTTGAGGAAGCAAAAAAGAACAAAAAAAAGCGATTATGCAAATGCGTCAGCTGCTATTCACCGTCACAATTTCATGGAACGCACAGTGAATTATCCAGAACACATAGAATTGTCGCTGAAAAGAAACTCAATTTATTAATTAATATTCGCGCTCATATATACCACGTCACGATTATGCTAGAATTGAACGCAATGCACAAAGTTAAATACTTTGAAATGTACCACTCCTAAAGATAACGTATGCTGCATAATGGGCCGTAACAGCTTAAAATTAACTAAATTATTATCTGTTCATTTGTACTATGAGTCCTAGTACTGCACCACTGACAAGTATTTATTCTCTGAAGGGCGTTTATAAACAATCTGCTTAAACCGAATGAGTAACAATGAATTTAATGTTTAGAAAAAATTACAGCGGTGCGCACCACAACTTTGATGCATTCATGCGTTTTTGCATAAAACTGTTGCATGTCGGAGCAGCAACCGAAAACGGTAAATTGCATGAAGAAAGTGCCCGTATGCAGTAGCAAGAATTTTTTGGTTGATATCCAGAGCATCAAATTACTTCAGATTTCGGGCTCACTACATCCTTCAATCCCAATTTATAACCCAACAAGTCAACGGATCACATCGGTCATGACGCAACAAATCTTGCAAGCAGCATTCTTGCATCCCACATCTCCACCTATTTCATGTATTAAAGTTAGGCCCTAAAAATGTCAAGATTCGAACTCACAGAGAGGAAGGCAGCTCAACATGATCCGGAGAGCGAGACTTGCAAAATTCGTGCACATACAGACACTTTAATACATTTGGATCAGACATCTAGACAGAGATGCTAAAAATCTAGAACGAAACGAGACAACGATTCGAATTTTGACTTAAACATTTCACTAGATGAGCTGAAAACTATAGATTTATGTTGCAGCATCTACCGCGTATAACAAAAAAAACTGACCGCAAAAAGACGCAAATGCATCAGTTTCCTGCTGCGTCGCGCTACTACTCGCTGTTCATTCCTGAGTGAATGAATCCCCCCATAAACCAGTGGCCATCACGGCACCATTTGATGAAATTTTTTCGTGCAAAAGATAAAAATGCACAAAAAAGTGTGCTTAAAAATCAGAGCACCAATAAAACATTGCTAGTGGCAAGAGGCACCAATCATCCTGTTGAAGTTTCAGCGAATATGTACAAACCGCTTGCCTCGAGTAAGAAGCGCCACATCCCAAGAAGCGCAAAAATTTACCGCTTCTTATCTCTGAAGCTGTGCAACGCAGTCAATAAGTACGTTAGGCAGTGCACTTTCAGCATGTATTTTAACAATAAGATGTAATGGAGAAAATCAGGATTTGCATTCTTCAAAGCCTGCTAAATTGAGAAGCAAAAGGTGTGAAAAAAGCCAGGGTACTGCTTAGCGTTAGCTTTATATGTAGCTTTCAGTTAGATTACAGTAAGATTCCTGGGGAATTCTGAAAAATGTTCAAAGCACGGTGATAAGCTGAGCAAAGATGATGAATGAGGATAAAATGGACAAATTTAATCTTTCCAACTTTTCAAAACTTTCAAGAGGAAAAAATGAACTTAAATGAATTGTATTAAACCAAGTATAAGTTTATTATTATTATTATTGTTGTTGTTGTTATTGTTATTATTATTGTTGTTGTTGTTGTTGTTATTATTGTTATTGTTATTGTTATTGTTATTATTATTATTATTATTATTATTATTATCATTATTATTATTATTATTATGATTACTGTTTTTGTTATTAATTTCACTTTTATTGTTGTCATCATTATTTGCACAGTCTATACGTCGTTACCCTCTACTGCGTTTCCGGAACAAGTGTAATGAAAGTTTTACGAAATTTCTGTATTGTTTGCTCCTATTGCACAAATTACAAGTAATATTTGGTGTGGTATTGCACGAACGTAACTATTAGCGAGTAAGCAAGCAACAGTGAAGAACGACATGCCTCGTATTTCTTGCGTGAAAGAACAAAAGATGCGGGAGTAACATAATGATCATAGTAACCCTATCTATTAAACGCTGTAATGATCCATGATAAAAGTCGTTGCTGATCGGTATCGGAGTGATGAAGTGAGTGCACTGGGTCCCAACGGGATGTCTTGGTGTGTATATGGAGTAGAGCGGAGCTGTGCCCGCCCTGTGATTCTACAGTTAAAGATGTATTGTCCCAGAAGTAGGAATTAGTATGTTGGAGGAGCATCGAGTGGTGTAGACGGGCAAGGGCATGTTAGGTCTTCGGCCTGGTAGTGTTTTAGGGTGTATTAAATATTTGATACTCGAGTTATTTATTATTAAGTCGAAGTTATGTTTGGTTCCGCCAGGCTTAGCAGGGGCAAATTTTTTTCAAATAAATTGCGCAAGCTTTACAGTTCCAAATTAGTTGTTTTTTTGCAACACTTTTGACTGTAGCTGCAAACAACGCAGAAGTGTTGCTGGAAAATAAGCCTATTCACTGGAATTTTACTACTGGATTGAACGAAGTACATACGGAAACGCCTCCTTTGCAAATGTAACCATCGGCCGGTAGTCCAAGATGCGAAGGATCATGATGACGTATGCAAACATCACCGATCATGGCACAAAGACCGGTACCATACCCCTCGCAGTCAAAAATTGCAGAAACAGGACTGCACGAAATCGCATCGTACATACCGTCATGAAAGCGTCCACCGCCAACACATGCACCCATGAGACACTGTGCCCCATGAGCGCAATGATCCTGAAATATGCAAGAGCACTGCGCTGAGTTCAGCCTTTTCTTCCTCTTCCGTTTTCCACTTATATTTCTGTAAAATCGGGCAAAATAAGGGTGATGTCAAATTGCGCAAGCATGGTGATGCTAGAAAAGGCGGCTTTGATCCCCGAAAGCTTTCCGAAAAACCATTTAAATGAGGAGCGGAAAATTACCAAAAATACCAAGACTACTCGAGTTATAAGTGTAGGTTCGCGATATTGCTAAGATGCTCCCGTCAAATTCTTCTTAAATAACTTTTGACACAATTGCGCTAAAAATTATGAAAAATTTGATGCGAAAACTTGCTGCCTCTTACATTCGACCTGAGCACGGCCAATTCATCAAGTATTGGCGCAACCCTCAAAAATCCTGTTCTTAAAATCATTAAAAATCATTGAAGTTGCGAGCGATTAAGTTTGGCCACAAAAACTATCCTCATTGGACTCAAAAGTTTTGGTTACTAGAACAGCACTCGCAATGTGCCCTTTCGTTTGTCGTAAATTTAGAAGAAAATGTGATGAAGGCAAACGACATAGCTGCACTATGTGGTAAACGAGAAGAGAAAATGAGGAAAAACTTGAAATGTTTGGAACCTCGACAATGAAAAAGACAAGCTGAAAACCTCGACGTTGCATTCGCTATGAATGAATCCGGCATATTTGGTGCAGGTGTCATTGCACGGTGAGCCAAAGCAGTCTTCTTCGCTGAGGCAGGAACTTCTCGCTATACACTCGCATCTGCATTTCCCGAATACGCATTTGCCGGATTCACCGCATTCAGTTTCATTAGCGCACTTCTACAAATAGCTCCTTTTCGGCAGTAATAATCAAACTGTTACAGGACAACTACAAACACTGGGCTTTTACGTCAAATTGGAACTTCGAAAGTTGTACACATGCATAATGCCGAAGTACATTGGGAGCTAGCATCAGCTTACTACTCCCATTTGATTTCACAGTCA